CTTCAACTGATCATATCTCCCCCACCCGGACTTGGCTCTAGGAGATTCTTGAGTGCAAAGTGAAGCCCCGGAAGTAAGCTTTCCAAGGTGGTGGCCCCATAGCTAAAATCCAAGTATGCAGATTAATAAGCCCGATTCAGCGAGGACTGCTCGACTCCCTTCTACCCAGATTCATGCCTGTCTTCTCCTCCAACTTGGTTTCTTCTCTCTTCCCCTCCTTTCTTCAACTTCAAACCCCTAAGCAAGGTGTTTTGAAAGATTTTTCAAAGATTTCATCTCTCTTTCATTCATTTCCACTTTGTCCCTGCTCGGTTTACCGAAAAGCGCAACGTTTGACAAAATGCGAGCCTCGGAACATCGCAGAAACTTTATTTCAAAAAAGTTTTGAAAGAGAGGGTTTTAAAGTCTAAAAACCATCCAAAATAGCTTTGGTCCAAAACGGGGTGTGGATTTGAGACTCGTCTCTCTCCTTGCCGAAGAAACTAGATCTTTCCCCTGCACACCTTTTATCACCAAGTAAACCATCAGTAATGCCCAAGTCTTATGGGCTGTCAAAAATGGGGTGTCTACAGTAGGTGGTGATTTTTGGGTCCAATGGGTCTAGCCCATAGCCTCCCTCTCGAAAACACTTGGGTACCCCTTGGGGCACACCCCAAGTTTCAATCACATGCTTTATAAATCCATTCAAAACATCTCACCAAATCAATATGGGACAAGCCTTATACAAACCTTTAAGGATTTTTCACCAAAACTCTATTTCCATGGAGCATACTTTGGCTTCAATTTCTCATTCACCTGGTAATGGTTTTGAGCAACCAAATATACCACGTGAATCACAACGCGGCATAGAACGCGTTACCACTTTGACCCGGAAAAACGCACGAGGCCCACCTAAAAAATAGACCAAAGTTAGGAAAAAATCTGTTATAAACCCAGATTTTTCCAAACCATTTCCAACATATATATATATATATATATATATATATTCAGCGTTTATCCTGCAAAGATGGATCCATTTTGGCTGAGGATTAACGGGATTTCTTTAACTTTCATTTTTTTTTTTGTCCCACTTGATTAAGATGATGAGGGGGGAAATCTATGAATACAAATTCCTTTCTCCAAGAAGAAAATTTTTTCAAATTGTTTTCTTTATTCTGGTTTAGAAACGTACTCAAATCAACTAGAATTGCTTTTAAACAAATCTAAGTTGGTCATCATGCAATTGAGATGGCTCTTGGTAAAATAATTTGGTTGCTTTATCTGTTAAAAAGTGTTGTCACTTATTATTAAGTCATCGTTGCCCTGATCTTGTACTTTTCTTTGTTTCATTAGCAAAAAGAACAAAAAAAAAGGACAAAGAAAAAAAAATCCCTATCAACCTAGGCACCGAAAGTTGAGATGTGGTGAAGCTACTTTCTTCACCTTTTCATTTTCTTTTTTTTTTTTTTTTTTTTGGCCTTTTTTGGCCTTTCCTTTCAGTGTTAAAAAAACAAAATAAAATAATGTATGTTTGGAAATTGGATTTACCAAGAAAACTTAAAAAAGAAGGATAAGGAAAAAAATAAAGGAAAATGAAAGTAAAGGAGTGAAACCAATCTCTTGCTTTTTGTTCACTTCGAATGAAAAATAAGAAGAAAATAAACAAACATTTCTCTTGCTTTTTGTTCACTTCGAATGAAAAATAAGAAGAAAATAAACAAACATTTCTCAAAAAAAGTCATTTTTATTTGGATTCTTATTTTAAATCCAACGATATGTAATGAATGATTGATTAATAATTAGAGAAAATATGAGAGAGGAGAATTGTCTTGAATATTCTAATTGATTGTGACATCATTGAAAAATTGGTTTAATTTTTGGGCTAAATTGGCAATGGCCTTTTTATTTAGTTACCGTTGAAAATTTAATAGTAATTTCATCTTGTTTTCTTTTTCAATTCGGTCATCAAATCATAAATTCTTGGGAAAATTAGTCTAAGGTCCCTCTCTCATTTTTAGTAATAAAAGAAATCTACAATATTATTTTATGATGTCTAAGATACTCAACTCTACACTCATATATCATAGAGAAATTTGAGTCTCGCAAATCAAATCTCATCCTTCTCTCCCTCTCTCCCTCTCTCTCTCTTGATGATCTTTAATTTTGAATTGAGTGAGAAACGAACTTGCAAAGCTCTCAGAGACATTAGAAGAACAAAACATAGAGAAACCCAGCCTATGGTTAAGAACTAGAGTGATTGATATATGGAATTTGATGGTAAAGAGACATAGTCTGAGGCAAGAGAAGCATGTTGAGAGAAGAACCAGAGAACTCACCGACATGAGGAGAAGGAAAAGGAGCAAAGCTTTGATTGGGTGTGTCTCTCATAGAGGACTGAGATGATTTCTTGTAGTGAAACGGAGGGATGAGATTGTTGGTGACTGAGTGAGGAGGTAAAGATGGGTAAACGTAGTTGGTTCTCACCTTGACTCCACGCATCCCTCGCCGCCTCCTCTGCCATGTCAAAGGTACCGAGCCACCACTACTCTTTGGATTAAGGGTCTCAAATCTCCCCCGCATAACTCGTACCCAGCGGTATCTCATTGGGTTGGCGGCGGTGGCAGCGACTTCGTCTTTCGGTGACCTTTTGTTGGTGGCAACGGTGATGGCGGTGGGCCTTTTTAGGGTGGTGGTGGTGGTGGTGGGGTGGAGTGGGTCAAATTCTGGTGTGTGGGTCAGACCGTTTAGCCTTCTCATTGCTTCTTTCATTTGATGAGAACAATGAGAATAAAGCAAAAGGAAATGAAAGAGAAAGAGAGTGAAAACACAAAAAAATAAGAGAGAGAGAGAGAGATGATGATGAGAGTGGTGATTGTTCACTCAAAGACTCTGGGGTTTATGCAGATCATATGTGAATTTTCTCTAGATTTAGTCACTGTGTGAATTTTCTCTAGATTTGGCCATTGTGTGAATTTTCTCTGGATTTTGGCCACTGTGTGAATTTTCTCTGGATTTAACCACTGTATGAATTTTCTTTGGATTTTGGCCTCTTTCTCTCTAAACCTAAACATTTATCACACAAAACACTAAATTTTTCCTACCTATAGTTAAAGTTTGTTCAAAACTTGTTTACTAAAATTGTAGAGTACGTCGAGGGCTTCAATCTTACCGGGTCCAATCGTCGTTTGGAGCAATTTTGAGTTTGAGTCTTTTTCTATTGGAAATTGTTGGATAATAATGGGTGAATTGGGATAGTGTATAAAATAATTTGAAATGTCGATTCAAGTAGGTTTGAGATTCCTGGTGAAAGACCAAAAATCCATATGGAGTACGTACTAATTTCCTTCAGACTAGCAACTGGTAAAATGGGGGTGGTTTTTGATAGTTCGTAGATAGACTACTAGACCTCGGGATATTTATCATGAAACGGCACATGCATTGGCATCCATGATCATATGCATATTGAATACTTATTTATTTAGTTAATATTATCTCTAATGAGCCTATTGCTCATCTCTTTGTGAAAAATCATTTTCAGGTATTCGGTTGTATACTCCATATCTCACTACAATATATATATATATATATAATATGTATGTATTATCTCAAAAATACTAGGTGTGTTTGGTTTGATCTTGAAAGATAAATTTTTAAAAAAAAAATTTGGAGAAAGAGTTTAGAAATTTTTTTGGTTGTATATTTTGAAAATAATTTTGGAGTGTGGGAGTTTAGGATGATTTGATATTTTGTTGTAGTTAAGTAGATATGTATGAAAGAGAAAATGTGATTGAGAATGAGAGATGAGAGAGAAAATGTGATTGATTGATGTAAAAGAGATAAAAAGTAATTTTTTTAAAAAAATTACCAAAATCACTAAACCAAAAAAAAAATTAAAAAATTTTCTCAAAAATTTGTTTCTCAAAAACAAATTAAACAAGGCCACTATTTTCTTAATGGATTCGGATCCCTTAAATTTTGGAGCATCATAGTAAAAACTCACACGAGCTTGTCCTATCATCCTTTTCAAAGAGTCTAGTAAGAAAATTATTCAAATCTATTTAGTGACTCAAATTGTGTGTATATCACAAAATACCATAAATGTGAATATATTTATGTTATTGTATCTCTTTAAATAATTTCTTAAAATTAAAATTTTAATTAAAAATCAAACCATGAGAGGAAGGCAAGCACATTTTTAGAAACAAAAGATGGGGTGCCAATGCTAAATTACATACAAATAACTTTTTTTTCCCTCCGTTGAGGTAGTCAATGAATCATAAATTAATTATATTTTCTCCAAAAATCTTACTTGAATTCTTTCACTTTTAAGTAAGACAGTTAATCACATTCACTTTAAATCAAATTATAATATCGATTTTTTGTTCATCTTTAATTAATAAGATTATCAAATTTAATGTGAGTCATGCTTGGTATTTTTCTTGCTATATTAACACCTATTTTATATTTATTAAAATTTCACTTTAATTAAATTATATTTTAATCTTTATATTTTGAATATTTACCAATCTCAGTAACAATGGACAGATGAGCATAAATATAACATTTCAAATTGAAATTCAATTCAGGAGCACTTTTTCGTCACCTATTGGAATCCAAATGCAAGAATATAACAAAATGACATGTGGCAGGAAAGCATCAAAGGAAGAATATCATATATATTCCATTCCATTAACAAGAAGCACCATCATCATCTTTCGAAAAAGTAAGATTCACAATTCCTAGGGCAATAAAAATAGTAAAAATTTGCACCTAGCATCAGATCTCCATAGGAGATTGATAGAATCCAAAATAAATAGGCCTTTTTTGCCATCCACATCACACATACACATTCTCCACAACCCAAATTCTAACTTTTGGGACTTGGAATCCACCCACACACCACAGCTTCCCATGCCTTCTTAATTTATCCTCTAATCAACATCATCACCAGTGTAAGAAACAGAAAGAAAAAATTCTCAAAATTTTACTATCTCAACAAGTCAAACTTTAATCCAAGGAATTGTGACATTTCGGTAACATTTTTGGACATAAGTTTTGAGGTTCTAGATTTCACATTTCTCAGGATCAGCTCTCAAGAGTTTTGGTACAGTAGTCTTAAGATGGCTCTCTAAATGTTACATGACCTGTATCCAAGACTTGGGTATGGAATCGAATCTTGGCCGATGTACTTTCTGGTTGAAATGGTGTCTGCGTTGTAAAGTCGGTGTACACATTCAAAGTTGTGTCCCTCATCGTACTCCGATAACCGACATTAGATAGTTGATTTCAAAGTCAACAGAGGACAGACTTGGAGAATTTATTCATTAACCAAGAAAAATAAAAAATAAAAATCCTGATATTTTAATTTCAGTATTTAATTTTTAAAATAATATCAATTCTAATCATCTATTAAGGTCTCGTTTAGGAACAAATTAATTTAATAACTTTTTAGCTATTTGGATAAAATATGAGCTAAAAAAAATTAGTATGTTTGGGATGACTTTTTAACTTTTTACGAAAACATGTGCAAAAAATAGAGAGAAAAGAGAACTTTTGACTTTTTTATATAGGTTGTTGACTTTTTAACTTTTTTTAGTAACTTTTTAACTTTTTAACTAAACGAATTAGTTCCCAAACGAGGCCTAACTAACTAGTGTAATTTAAACAATTTAATCACTTTTTATTAGTGATGTTAAACGAGGACAGTAACTATAGACTAGGAAAAGAATGAGTGTTAGTGAACTGGTGAAAAAAAAATAGTAGTAAGCCTATTTTGAAAAGTAAATTAAAAGTCACTTCTTAACTTTTAATTCACTTATCTCTCACAAAAAAATTTAAAAAAATATTAAAAATTAACTTTTAATCATCTTCTCAAAACAGCCTCAAAAAAAGTAATGAAATCGGTGACAGTAGATTGGAAAAGAGAAGAGGCCGTAATAGACATCAGCTAAAATGAGAACGAATTATCAACAACGAAAAAAAAATTAGTTAAAATGCCTAAATTAACCTAACATGATACAAATAGATTGTTAAAATACACAATTTTAAAAGTTTAAGATTTAATGAAGACAATTAAAAGTTAGAATTTAATTTGTTATCCAAGTCAAATCTTAAATTTTTTTTATAATTTCTCCAATTATATATATATATATATATATGTTTATAAATAAAATAAAAATAAAAAGGAAGACCACTGGCAGAAGAAGAAAATAACTGTCAATTTTATTAAATTTATTTTATTCTCATTGGAGTAAGCTGTAATAAAATTTTAAAGTATCTAAAGACCAGATCCACCATAATAATATGATGACAGTAATGAAATTTGAATATCCACCATAATAATATGACCTCCACGCCATGTTATTGAGTAAAAAGAAAATTCATAAAAATTAAAAAAAAAACATTAATTGTATATTAATAAAAATATATGGTAGGGAGATGAACACATTTCAATTGAATGTCACATCAATGATCATACTCTCTTCCCATCTCATCTCTACATTTTCTTCTGGTACCTAGTTTTATTATTAACCCCAAATTACAACTGTAAGTAGTAAACATAATCAGTTCCAGTTTTACGGAACATTTTTCAACTCATTCAAAGAAGGGTAAAAAAAATGACAATAAAAGAGACCTAAAATCTTTGGGTGAAATTGGACTTCATTTTTTGATGAAACCCTTTGAATTTCTACCCTTTCTAACTTCAGTTGTAATAATAAATGACACCCAAAAAATATTTGATAATTTTTCTTCTGAATGTTTGAGCTCTCTTTTCTTCTTTCTTCCTTGCTTTCCTCCTTTTACTGTCACCTTCCTCTACCAGCAAAACCCCAAAACTAATAAAAAACATATATTGTTTACCTAAAAAAAAAGCATAGTCTTTCATGTCCTCAATGTTGGTAAAAAGATGGTTAAAGGTTTTTACTGAGCCATGAGCTGATCAATCTGCATTTGCTCGAGCCACGCCCCCAGAACAGATTGATCGGTTGGTTCAATCTGCGAGTTCGAATTTGAGCCCTCACCAGAAGATCCAGATCCATCAACACCACCTAGGACCGGTGCTGCAGGCCTTTCCTTCATTTCTTGTGGAGATTCTTTGACAAGTGATTGAACCCATGATAAATCAGGCTCCTCCTCTCCATTGCTTCCAAGCTCAAATGATGACGATCTGCGAAGTCTACCAAATTCATCAGCATTAACAGTCCAGTCTGCCTTTCCATTGGCGGAACCCCATTTCAACCACGAATCGCCAGGAGAACCAACAATGGAAGCAGAATTGGAGCCAAGATCGCGAGAACTAAGGCTGCGAAACTGTTGTTGCTGCTTCTCACGTTGAGCAAGCATGGAAACCCGAGAGCCCATTGGTGAGATAGGCTCCACACTTCTAGGAGACATTCTTCCTCCAAAGGAAGCCTGCAAAAGAGGGTGATCAATAGTTTTTGGTGAGAAATTAGTATTAATCGGTGATACCATGCTCTTCTGCTGCTGCTGAAACTGATTGAGAACCATTGACTTGTGTGTAGGCGAGAAAACAGCTGAAGCCAATGCCTGATCAGAATACCGGGGAGAAGAAGAGCTCTCAGCAGAAAACAGATCTTCGAGGTTTGAAGGGGTTAGTGTTTTTGAATGAGCAGACCGGTTCAAAGAATTACCCGGCTGAGAGAGACGGGATAATTCATTTAGGAGCTGCTGTTGCACATCAAAATCTGGCAACAAATCTAAGCCCTCTGCTGCAATATCTCTTGCATTTAGAGAAGATCGCAAGCGACTTGACTGAAAATTGCTTCCCGGTAGATGCAATGCCGGGACATTTGGTTGAGGCCAACCCATGTTTGAAATGCCATTGGCAGATGGAGACATGGGTGGAGTGAATGGCACTGGGGACATTACTGAGGATGGCGAACCAGGTAAGAGGTTCATGGCTGCAGCAAAATCCATCCCATTAGTGGCAGCCGAACCAGACCGCGGCGATGGCACAGCAGAACCGGTAGAGACATACAAGGGTCGGAGTTCCTCTTGTGTGTGAGCAAAAAAGCATACTCTTCTATTGCAACTTGTACCGTCCTTGCAAAGCCGGGTCCTATATTGAGCCGGGTGGAGCCAACACTCAAAAACCCCATGAGCGTACTCACACATATCCCCTCTTCGACAAGCCCCTTTCCGAAAATCAGGACATGGAACGCAGCTGTAATGATATTTCCTCGGGTCCCTTCTCCGAGCATTTTCACCAGGATGAACAAATGGGCACTCGGTCCAATCATGGGAGTAGGCACGAGAACAAGGCCGGACCTTGAATGAGAACATTCGGAACTCATTGGTTGAATATATGCTGTTCTTGATGTCCGGCAATGATGGGTCAATTGGGTATTCTTTCTTCTCTGAAGCAGAAGAAACAAAAACATCATTGAACTTTGAACTCTTGGGGGAAGAAGTTGAATCTGACCCAGATGATAGGGATCTATTATCCGGGGATGGCGACAGTGGTGGAGAATTGGAATTTGAAGTGGCGATTGATACCCTTGGGTTGCGCTCACCGACAGAACCATTGGTGGCGAGAAGCTCCTCAAGAGCAAATTTCAATTCTTGGAATTTTGGGGGGACTACGATAACATCAACAGGACAATGACCATTGGCATCGATCAAATTAGGATCAGCACCAGCATCCAAGAGAAGTTTCACAACATCAACTGCGCTCACAGAACCACCCGATGCAGCACAATGAAGGGCAGTGATCTTATCATGGCCACAAGGCCGATTGACATCAACATCAACATCAGAAAAAGAAATAATTAGTTTCACAATATCAATACTGCCATAGGTAGCAGCAACCATTAAAGGAGTTCTAGGCTCTAGAACCATCTGCTTCGACCCCTTTCGGCGTCCATACCATAACCCAACGTCATCAATACCCGAAAGGTCATGCTCAATATATCGTTTGAATCCCTCAACATCATTGTTAGCGGCAAAATCAAGCAAGCTACCAAAAGTATCTTCAGTTTCAACAGTCAAGTTATTCATGTCTATGTTAGTAGGTTTACTCTTGTAAAAGGAAAAAGGAGATGATGACAACGATGATGGTATCAGATCCAATTTGGGTTTTAATCGCTCTAATCCACAGCACATGCTTTCATTTGCCCCAAATCAAACTGAAAACAAAAACACAAAAACTCAAAAACATCAAACAGACGTTCATCACACATTAAAAAATAATATATATGATCAAAAATACCAAATCAAAGAGATGATAGCAATGATAAAAACTACAAAACCCAGAAACAAATCTAACAAATACTGATGGGTTTTCATCAAATCCTAAGAAGCCACAGAAAAACAATTCATATGTACACACCAAGAATACAGATGTACAACAACAAAATTCATCACCAATATAAAACAAAGTGAGAGTCTTTTGCTTGTAATGACTGGAAAGTTTTGATGGTATTAATGGTGAATATGGAAAGAAATTAACTTGTTATATAGACTGGGACAAAGGGTTGTGTTAAGACAGTGCCAAAATTGTACAATGAATAAGCAAATATCTAAAACGAATCTCTGCAAAATCGGACGTTTCAAATTCAAACGTTTGAAGAGAATCAAATAAAAGTCAGGATAAGGTTTGTTATGTTAAATTCTTAAAGGCAACAAAGTCTAAAAGCATAAAAAATTAATAGACTTGCAGACCAGGGTTTTCATATGATAAGAAGAAAATGACCTGTTAGGTAAGTAAGAGAATTTAAAGAGACAAGAAACAGAAAATCTCGGAAGACCACGATTTTTCTTGATTTTGTACCCCATAAGTAATTAACCAGGACTCAACATGAAAAATGCCACTATGTAGCTTGATTAAAAAGCTTTTCTTTTTCTAATTTTTGAAAATCAAAACAATACAACAGAAAATATTCGATTTTCCCATTAGTTTTCTCGGGAAACAAACAAATGGTAAACAAAAACCTAATTTTTAAGACTGCCAACTCAGGAGTAAGTCAACAGACTGAGATTCAACATCCAACAATTTAAAAGAGAAAAAGGAAAAAAATAAAAAGAAAAAAGAAAGTAATAAATCAAAGTACATCATAGATATCTCTCTAAACAATGCAAATCAACAACGCATAAAAATTCATCATTTCTATCACAGACAGATTAAACAAAACATGGTAACAAATGGCACCAAAAAAAAAAAAGAGCAAAGCAAAGCAAAGAAAATCAAGAAATAATCAAAATCCCAGAAACAAGATTGCTCTATTTTTTCTCTCGGGTCTACATATATATATATATATATATATGAATCAGCATAAATGTAGAGAGAGAAAGAGAGAGTTGAACTGAAGATAGATGAATGAAGATCAGAGACAGAGAGATGGAAGAGCAGATGAGTTTTTCCTTACTGGGTCTGACAGAAGAGAACCTTACCGGGATGTTTTTTTCTTCTCCAATAGCTATGGAGATGAAGAAGAAGAAAGAAGCAAGAGAGGCTCACCCATCTTATAGAGAGAGTCGGAGAGATCGGCACAGATCTAGAGAGAGAAAACCGGGAGGTAGAAAGAAAGAAGAGAGAGAGAGAGAGAGAGAGAAAGAGAAAAGTGATTATGATGATGATGAATGAATTGAATGAATAAGAACGAGAAAGTTATGAGCTGATGACAAACACTATAAGAAATTATTTATTAAGAGCTTCTCTTCTTCCTCCGCCATTTCCTATGCTCTCTCTCTCTCTCTCTCTTACAGAATGATTATTATTTATTAAACCCACTATTGTTTGCTTAATTACACAAACACTATAAGAAATTATTCAAATACCACTTTATCAATAAGGAGTTGTTTGGAAGGTTTTAATAAACAAGTTTTATTATTATTATTATTATTATCATCATCATTATTGAGTGTTAGTTTTAGAAGTGACTTTTTTAGCCTCCGTTTGGCAAGTTGGGTTAGGAATTTTTTTGGCTATTTTAGTCACAAAAGACAAAATAAGTTATTTTAATCATAAAAAAACAAAACATCACATCCAACCCATAATCATTACACTCTTCTCAAAAAAAAAAGTCAAAAAAGTCAAAAAGCGAAAAAGCCCTTCCCAAACCAAGCTTTTTATCCCAGGCTAAAATAGCCAAAAAATTCAAAAAGCCAAAAAGTCAACCCACTTCCCAAACCAACCTTTTGAATTTTTAGTTAAAATGTGAGGTAAAGAAAAAAAAATTTTAAAATGTAAAAAATAGAGAGAATGTAAAAAAATCTTCAATTTTCTTATATGACATTTTTAATGACTTTTTAATTATTTTAATTAGGAAAAAGGTTGAGAGTCCCTTTTACCTTGACCCCCACCACCTCTAATGTATTGGGATTAGTTAATTTTTTTTTTTTTTAATTTTTTTTTTTTTCCTCCTATCACTTACTGATATGTGTCTATAGAGATTGTAGGAAGTCAAGAAAAAAAGGAAGTCCCTATTATTTTTGTTTTAACTATTTGTTAAACACTTCATAAATAAGCCAAAAAATCAATCACTCAAAAAAATTGTTTGTCATTTACTCAAAAATTTAAAAACTCCATTCGTTATTTACAAAAAAAAAAAAATCAAAAAAAATGACTTCTTAGCCTCCGTTTGGGAAGTGGGTTGGCTTTTTGGCTTTTTGGCTTTTTTGGCTATTTTAGCCTGGGCTTAAAAGCTTGGTTTGGGAAGGGCTTTTTGGCTTTTTGGCTTTTTTGAGTTTTTTTGTGAGAGAAGAATGTAATGATTATGGGTTGGATGTGATGTTTTGTTTGTTATGGCTAAAATAGCCTATTTTGTTTTTTGTGGCTAAAATAGCCAAAAAAGCCCCAACTATGACTTCCCAAACGAAGCCTAGATACATTAGTTATGATTTTACAAAAATTTAAAAATATATAGGTTCAAAAAATTATTAAAAAATTAATCCGAAACCAACTCTAAATGGACTGACAAAGTCCCAGTTTGGCTATCATTTTAGGGTTAAAAAAGTACAAAATGATAAAATATGCTAAATAAGCTAATAAGACAAAATATCACATTTAATACTTAATCATTATATTTTTTCTCACAAAAGTCAAAAAATCTAAACAAAACGAGATTAAAAAAGTCTCAACACAAAAAAGTTGACTATATTAACTAATGTCAAACGAAGCTTTAGTAGATGTATTTCGAAACCGATTTCAGTTATTTGAATTATTCACTTTTTAAGAGTTATTTAGTAGAATATTCATATAAAAAATAAGATAGTTAGACATTGGTGACTATATATTTTATATCATATTGATTTTTTTTTAAAATAAATGACAAATATAATTTCAAAAATAATATTCATTTTTTATAATACAAATTTGATTCAAATATGTAGCTAATATTCGATCATTTTATTTTTTGAATGAATATTTTACTAAACGAATCCTAAAAAAAATGAACAATTCAAATCATCGAAATCGGTCTCAAAATAAACTTATCAAATTTAAATACGTATGGTTCTTTCAAATTAAAATAGTCAATATGAGATAAACTCAACTCATTTCAAAATATAATTAGACATGTTGGGCATTCATTATGACGTGGGTAAGCCCATAAAGGCCATAGCCCACTATGAACAACCCAAACCCATCACTTGGAGCCCAATACATAACCTAGCTGGTGAAGTCCAGAACAGCTAGAATCCAACGTAGCATAAAGAGCCAATGACATTCAGACATACGGCAGGTAAAGGACAAGCCACATCAGCAAACAAAGATCTGCAAAGTTATTGCCACTGCACATCACCATTAATGCAGCCCATCATAGCATTTACTACGACAACACCTCTCCGTCGGAACAGCACCCCCTTACCCTGAACAAGGTAAGCTACAACATAGACTTTCGGCCAAGATGGCAGGTCGGAAGGGACAGGGAAATGATGACTAAAGGATATAAGCAAACGTTGAAGACAAAAAGAAGGTTAAGTTTTCCTATCTCCAATTCATCTATCTACATTTCACTTCTCTCTCTCTCTAACTTACTCGTCGGAGGGTTCGCTGAGGGACTTCCCGTTCCCCATTGAACTCCTGTGCAGGTTTTCTGGTGGGCTTGAACACTCAGTTACCGGTTGAAGACGCGTGGATCAGTTCTACCCATTCCGCCCGGGACCCGTTGTGTAGTAACTGTATCATCAGTTGGCGCCATCTGTGGAAACACTTTGCTCCTTGCGCCAGTTGTGTTCACTATCACCAGAAACCCTGTTCCAATACCCTTTTCTCGCTACCCATCGAAGTGTATGGTCACGACTAGATCCATGGTTTCTCACCAAAATGCTGCCGACCACCAAGCCGACCCTCCTAATCCAAACAACCCACCACAATATTTCATCGAGTTTACCAACAGCATTAACCGCATGGCCGAGCAAAACTAAACCCTGATCAATGCCCTACTCCAAAGAAACCTTCATATGCCCCATCCACCATCTCCCTATATTCCCCCCAACTACGAGCAAGCCCCGAGCCATACTATTCCTCAGCCTAATCCGCCCAACAGAGAAGGCTTGCAACCCCCTCCTCCAGATATAAACCTACCACCCGAGGGCCCACAACCATCGATCCCACCACCAATCCTTGAAGGAAAGGCTAGCAGCGTCCACCCCCCGCTGCCCTCCGGAGGTGACCACATCCCTCTCTGGGACGCGAAACTCCGAGCCATGAAGCTCCAACTCCAAGGGGTCATGCAGAACATCCAGCATAAACCCTTTACCACAGCAAACTCACCATTTGTCGCCTCCATCCGCGACAAACCTCTACCCCCCAAGTTCAAGATGCCCACCATCGACTCTTTTGACGGTACGACGGACCCAGTCGACCATCTAGAGACCTACAGAACCCTCATGATCCTCCATGCATTCCCTGACGAGATCATGTGTCGAGCTTTCCCCGTGACACTGAAGGGGTCAGCTCGGCTGTGGTTTAGCCAGTTACCAGCAGACTCCGTCTCCACTTTCCAACATCTTAGTGACTCCTTCCTCAGCCATTTTATTGGAGCCCAGCGCCAGCGACGCCCGGCAACCCAACTCTTCAACATTCGGCAGATCGAGGGGGAGTCGCTACGCAGTTTTGTTACCCGTTTCAACACCGAGGCCCTACAAGTGGCGGAAAATGATGACAAGGTCATCCTCACTGCTTTCATGGCCGATCTGCGGTCGTCCGATTTCCTGTTCTCCCTCTCTAAAAACCCTCCGACTTCCATGGCGGCACTTCTCTCCAAAGTCCAAAAATATATGAGTACTGAGGATTCCCTAGCCGCCCGACAAGATCCCATAACCAAAAACCTGGCCTCCAGAGAAAAGAGAAAAGACTCAGAACCCAGAAACACCCAGTATAATAGCCAAACACCACATTATACCGACCGACCCCCCCCCCGAGCTGACCGGTCGGCACCAGTCCGATCGCCCGATCGGTTCGAACGCTACACACCCCTTAACTCCCCCATGGAACAAGTCCTCAATCAGATCCAGCGGGACTACCCCCTTAAATGGCCCCAACCGTCACGAACCCCTTCCAATCGGAAAGACCAGTCCAAATTCAGCAGACCCCTAGAACTGATCCACTGCTGCAATACACAGATCGAGGTACGCCGCCCTTTTAGAGGCTGCCTTAGCCCTCTCCTCCTTCAACTCCTTCTGTAGAGTCGCCCTTTCAGAGGCTGCCTTAGCCCTCTCTTCCTCCAACTCCCTCTGCAGGGTCACCCTTTCAGCAGCCGCCTTGGCCCTCTCTTCCTGCAACTCCTTCTACAGGCCCTCCTTCACCTCCACTGCCTTAACACGCTCATCTTCCAGCTCCTTCTGCAGCCCAGAAATCTCCAGGTCTGTGTCTTCTCTTTCCTTGTTTTGCTGGGCACGCAGATTTTCATTGCTGGTCATAGCCTCTTCAAATCGTTCGATGGCGACCGCGCAGTCCTTTTGAGCATCTCCCAGCTTCTTCTGCTCGCTTGCCAGTTGGAACTCGAGCGACACAACTTGGCGGCGTTCGTTCTCCAGCTCCAACTTGACCGCTCGCAGCTCAGCATGGGCACTCTCTCAGCCATCACGCTCCTCCTTCAAACTTATAAGTTGAGCCTGGGCCTTGTTTGCCTTTATCTTTGCAGCCGCCGCCTTTCTCAGCAGAGCTCCTACTAAGGTGGTTACCTCCATTTGAGCAGAGCATAACCCCCT